CACAGGTGACTTTGCTGGCAGTGACTTTGTTTTTAATGTAATTTAATTTAATTTATTTATTATATTATCCTAGCACAGCAAGTTTACACTTATAATTGTAGCGCTAGTCACAAAGATTTTGAAATTGTATATACTTAATTTTAATACATATGAACTTATTTCTATAACGTATTACTACATGTCTTCTAGTTAATAATTGTTTTATTCTTACATTACATTTTACTTTAAATATTCTTTTATTTGAGATTTTAACTGAGTTGCGGCCCTAATTGTCTTATATCTATGTGGCAGATTGTTCCACAGACGGATAGCATTAGTAAAGAATTGCCTATTTGAGCACAGCGAATTATATCTTGGGCATATATAATTATTCGTTCTAGTTGAGGTAGCAGATTTGAGTTTGTCAAACAAGTATGTTGGTTCATGGGATATCACAATTTTGTGGGAATATAAGAAATTTTAAGAGACAATTTCCATGATTTTTTAAAAGTCTGGATTTGGCTTACTTATTCGATCAAATATTTTCTTCTATATGTATTCTATACAGCTGTGTTCACGGAAATAGCAGTGCGACAGAGGGAACAACTTCAAAACCTTTTTTTGTACATATTCCTTTTTGCAAGCTGATCTATTGCACATTGTTTTTGTTAAATGGAACATAAAGATAAGAATCGAGAAAAAATTCCGTTAGATTTGCTCTATTTTTATGTTTTATTGATATTTTTTCACATATGCAGCTCGTTTTGGCCGATCACTGAAATAGCAGTATTTAATTTTCTTTCGCAAAAAGTGCCGAAATTTCTATTAATTTTGTAAAAAATGAGTTTAATTACGGTCGTTATTATAGTTTATTATATAATACACCTTTACAACGCAAAAAAAAATATTTTAGTGGGCGCAGGACCTCACTGCTCCATGAGAGAAGGGTATCAGAGAACTTAGCCTAGAAAGAAGGGCAAAACATGTAAAGAGACTCCAAATCTTTCAGATTGTTATTTTAGAATAGTTTATAAATCATAAAATATGAACCGAACCCAAAAAAACCGAGGTACGATTCGCAAAACCACAGTTGTACAGGCTCGACGCGTACTTCGCTTCAGCAAAGCTCGTCCTTTTGCATCCTCTAGGGATATATGAGCGGGAATTGGCATGGGAATCAGTCATGGGACCATTCGCCGGGGACTTATTGAATAAATTTTAGATTCGCGAAGTCCATGGAAAATGTCACTGCTTGGTTACAAGCATATCAAGGCCAGATCCGAGTTCGCCAATAGCCACTTGAACTGCCACTATTCAAATGGCGTAATATCCTTTGGACAAATGACTCCAAACTGGTTTTATTTGGTGGAATAGGACAAGACAATATGTCCGTCGACCTCCAAATACAAAGTACCACCCAAACCATACGCTGAAGACAGTAAAACATGGTGGCCTAAAAATCATGGTTTGGGTATACTTTTCATACAACGTTGTAGGTCCCGTATATATGATCGGTGGGATCAAAGACCATTATGTTTATGTCTAAATATTAAAAACTGTCTTGCAGCCGTATACTGAGGAAAATATGCCATTAATTTGGACGTTTTAGCAGTACAGTGACCCTAATCATACCATCAAGGTGGCCAAGGAGTGGGTTCTTAATGAAAAAGTGGATGCAATGCCATTGCCTGCACAGTCCCCGGATATAAATCCGATCGAAAACTTATGGGGGACATCAAGGGCTACGTATTAAAGAAGTTTCCGACTTCTAAGCCGCAGCTTTGGCAATTTGTGCAGGAGGAATGAGGCCATATTCCCCTCAAGCGTTTCTAAGACTTGGTGGACTCCTTGCCACCCAGGTATGAGGCTATGATAGCTTCTAAAGGCTATTTAACAAATTATTAGATCATAGTCAATTAGAATTTAAGAAGAAATAGGTTTCTTATACGATATTTTTAAATTTATGAAGAATTTTAGTTTTTCACTGCTATTTCAATGATCGGCATAATATAGACCTTTTTTGTTGATATTAGCTATATCTTCTAAAGGGTTTATGTTACCTAAATTAAATGATTGTGGTATTGTTAATAATTAAATATACTAAGCTTTTATGAAAAAAAAATTATGAAAATAGTGTTTGTAACAGGATTTTCCGATCTTAAACGTGCAGGTCGTTGGGCACTGCTATTTCCGTGAACACAGCTGTATGTAGCGTACAAATTTATTATATTTTACCTTTTTTATAGTTTAAATCTGAGCCGAAGGCCTTAGTTGCTATGGCTCTTTACCCCTAGCTCTTAGTTTAGAACTATTTGTTGGCTTTAGATAAATAAGTGTTAAACCATTACTTTATAAAAACACATGATTTTTTAAATCTATTTTCTTATAAACGAATTTAATTGTATTTTATATTTTGAATTTGAACTTTTAGGCCAACATTTCGACTCTAGTTAAAACATATAAATTAAGAAAAGTATTCTTAACTAGTTCGCTTTATTTTTAAATTTATATTTTTAAAAACATGATATTATTTTTAATAAATAAACATTCAAAAGGTAACATAAGTAAAAAATATCAATTAAAATAGGAAATGTAATAATGTGAAAAATAATAACTGAATTAAAATACATGTATTATCTGTTATTCATTTTAAATTATTACAAATATTAAAATAGGTAATATTAATAAATAATAATTAATAAATAAATGTATTTATCGTTGAGATTTTTAGCTCGCATTGCAGCCCTGATGCTGCCTGATGTTGCATTTCAGACCTTCAAACTCTGCAGCAATCTCGGTCCCAATCCCAGTCCCGGCCCGGTCCGGTCCTGGTCCCTACTCCCTGATGATCATGACGCTGCTAAATGTGGCCGGTGATGCCCAGCGGGGCAGGGCAGCCTTTCGTACGTTGGTGGTGCTGTTTCCTCGACTCTTAGCGTTTGTTTGCAACAAGTAACGCTCATCTGTATCTGTATCTGCGGCAGTGTTTGCCGGGCCAAAGAGTTGCTTACCTGGCCGGGCGCGCTACCTGCGCAGAGCGGACAGGTAGGCGTAAGCATGTATCTGCAGCTGTATCTGTGCCTATATCCTTCGCCTTGCCACGGATGCATCGGTCAGTGGAGGCAGCGCAGCATCAGCGGCAAACCTTACATATAGTATAAAGTATATAGGAATATGTGTATTCAAGTTTTATATAAGGACCGGCCGATTGTGATTGAGTCTCCTGGTATGACTCGGCAACTTACTCTCGGCTATGGGGTAGCTAGGCGTCGGGGCTCTTCTGCCTCTGCTTAATGGTTTTAGGAAATCGAAAATTAAATAATTTATCTCGATTTTATGACGTTACAAGCAGGTTTTATACCCCTCGCCTCCCATCTAGCACGCGATAAATCTACGGCTTACAATCAGAAGAAATGATGCAGGAACAGAAAAAACACATGCCCCATGCCCGATGCCTTCCACAGTCGCCTGTAATTTGAATAGCCGCAGTTCTAATGCCGTAAAAAAGCGATGCTGCTCTTGGCCCCTGACCCTCGCCGTAATCAAAATCCCAACGTGAATCAACCGTGGAGGGGAGCTATTTTTAAAAAGCCCCCTTCTTAACTTGGTCGTTATTTTCAACGTTTTTTGGATGGTCATTGCTCTCAAGTGGTTCGTTCGCGTCGAGATTGATTCGAAAGAAAGGTGCAGAGAAAGTGGTAAAGAGGCAGTGGCTCATCGAGCTGGACTTGGCTGAAGTGGGTTGTCATTGGGCCTTCGTTTCTACAGGGAGAGAAAATCGCACAGACTTGTGGTTGATTAAATTCATGAAATTTAATTTATATTTATTGGTAACAAAGTATTTCAAGTCAGTTCTTAGAAAACAATAACGAAATGAAATTATTAAAATGGCATAATGAGCCAGATTCAATCTTCAATGATCTCAGGGATTCCATGTACACTTTAAGTAGATTTTCTGTTACAAAATTGTAATATTGAGAACTAAGAACAAAGAAATAAATAAATCAATAGGTAACCCTTAGGGTAAATTTTTGTTCGATATCGATTCGTATTACTACAAATTTTGTTAAAGTACTTTCCTATAACAGCATTTTAATATAGTCATGCGATCCAGTAATTTCGAATTACGATCTTTTTGCCAGGATATACATTAAAAGCTCAAACTGAAACTTAAATTTGGGAAATTCAGGAAAACACGATATTTTCGACCAACATGTTCAGTTTTCTAACAATATTGCCCTGAAATGTAATGATCATTATATTTACATTGTATAATGTACGATTTTTATAATAATTAGAACTGAAATCCACATTTTTGATGTGTGTAATTATCAGGGACGAGGAGTGATTTTCCAGTTCGGTCGCATGTGTTTGTCTCGTTAGCCATTGATGAAAAAGTTTTCGGTTTAATCTAACAATGCCAGCTGGTACAGTTTCGAAAATGAAATAAAAAACGTTTATACTCTGCGGCCACTTTGAAGTGGTCCTAAAGCAAAAATTGCATGAACGTATATAATAAATGACAATTTAGCTTAGCTTTACATTTAATCGTATTCATTTGCCACTTGTCTTTACTTTAAGCTTTATATATGGTGCAATCTTTTCGAAGCCACAAGTATACCTAACCATGAAACGGTTACTAAAGGCTAACGAGAAAAAAATAAATATTATAATTATATAAAATAAATACTGTTATGCCTTATTTTGTATGTTCTTAGCAAATGTATGCTTTGGCTGAATTTAGGTCTACGCTAAGAGCTTGTACTATACTAACATACGATTTTTTCAAAAGACAAACCGAAGGAAAAAATTGATGTTTATGGAGAATATCAATGTTTTAAGAAAATAATTTATATATATTATTTGTTTTAATTATTTTCGCTTACAGAAACATCGCTTCCATATGCCGAATCAAGTGTTTGAACGTTATGCATCTTGTTATTATATTTTTCAAATTGCTTTTTTTAACCGTATGTAACTTATGTATGTATGAAATCCCAATGAAATCAAAATTGTATAAATTCAAGTAAACTATATATTTATTTAACTTAGCACTTTATAACAATCTTAGGAAAAAAGCTTAATAGTCCTTTACATTGTTGCCCTAGTAGAGTACGACCTCCTCGACGCCATACCACGTTGTGGAGTAAATGGGTTTCATCTTTCGCTTCTCAACAATATTCGTGAGCAGTGGAATAATGTTGGCCAAGTCAAATAAACTGTTCTCATAGAAGGAGAGGAGCTCAGCCCAATTGGAGAGGGTCTCAAGCAAAGCGTCGTCCCTCGAGACGCTCAGCAGGGTAAAGTGGGAGGTTAGGAGGCAGCCGAACCATTGGAGAGCCTGGAGCTCGGTTTGAACCAACGAGTAGTTACGATTCGGACGCTCCTCCAACTGGGCACTGGGATCACTAGCTAGCTTATATAGGTGATTCATTAGGCGCTGCACGTGCACTAATTCCAGATGATGGCGAAGGTGCTCCTCAATACCGCTGGCATCAAAGCTGCAGGAAAGCACTGCGTTCAGCAGCGTATCGTTAGACTTCTTGGCATCCACTGCTTCGTCCTGGGCATGGCCGTTGACTTGAGCTGGATTGTCACTCGTATCTAAAGCAAATCGCAGTGACCAAGCCAGCATTTTCTCTGATATGTTGCTATAGCGCCGCAGGCACATCAGCACATGTTCCCTGTTTCCTGTCTTAATGAAAAGAGTGAGAATCTTTTCGATAATCTCCTCTTCACCAGCTCCACTCCTTTCCAGCTGTCGGACCAAAGCCTGGACCGCCGTGTTCATTGGTCCTGCATCAAAGAAGTTTGTCATCAGAGTCACGCTTACATCTTCAAGTCCGTTTTCGCAGCTGTTGGCCTCTCCATGAACATGGTGCTTGATTATTTCGCTAATCTCTTGCTCCACTAACTCAGGAGGGTCATATGCCAACTCCTTTCCATCGGCAGCCTGCAACTCGGGAGTAGACAGGTGTTTGTTCAACTTGGATTTAATAGTCCGATAATTGAAGGGCTTAGTGCTGCCATCGAACTTGATGACTGACTCTAGGTGCTCCTCCTCGTTGATATGATCCAGTTCGATGGGCGTGAGGTGGGTGTCTCTGAACTGGGAGCCCAACATGTCCACCAGAACCTCTTGGTTCATACGGTACCGTACGGCAGCTATATTCTGACCCATAGCCAGCAGGATGTGCTCATCCCCGGCCCACAGGCGAGAGAAGTCCAGGTACACCTTGAAGTACTGCTTGGCATTCACCACTTTGAACTGCGTGTTATATACCAATAGAGAGCCCCCTTCCTGGCCATAGTTGGCCCCGTAGATTGCTGCGAAATTCCTAGATACTCCATGCACAGACAGCTTGCTTTCCACATTCAGCTCGGCCAGCATAGACACAAATTGCCCGGGCGAACGCTCCGAAGTTCGGTCTGCCAAGTTCAGCATGAAGATTCGCTTGTCGGACCCTTGAAATAAAAGTCATACTTCAAAGATCCACCATAAGAAAAATTTTGTACTTACAAATGGTCAATAATTGAGGAGCCGCGTCCCCCTCGATGACGGCGTAACCAGTTAGCCGTACATCTTCTCTTTTGATGTGGTACTCCCGCCTGGTGGCTGTGGCCAAGGCGACCCGGATGAGCTGCAGTTCACCAGTGGCCTTTGTCTCTTCGAAAAACGTAAGCACCTGCTGGCCCTGGGGCGTTGTGTAAATAGTTGGCTTGCTGATGATTTTGCTGGCTGCCAGGGACAGTTGCAAGGCCGTATCTTCTTTCTGATCCTTACGCGAAGCCAGTGCCTGAGAGAGCGTTTGGCAGTCGCCATCACTGAAGAGAACCAAAGCTTCCTGGGTGTTTTCCACCAAGTGAGCAATACTTTTCTGGAACTGTTAAGAGGTAAGGGATTAGTTGTTAAATTTGACTCACTTTCCCATCCATCAAACCTTCAGTTTCTTGCACTTAGACACATCGCTGGTGTCCACATCCCAAAGGCGCAGAGAGTGGTTTCCAAAGACACCCACATATTTCTGGCTGCTGGGATCGTATATAACTTTGGACGATAGCTTTTCTGGAAGGGACCAACTGAGCAGCTGCTTTTGTGTGCTAATCTGGAAAGGATTTCACATGAACTCATGGAAAATGACTCGATTTTGAGAATGTACGTTACATTTAAAACCACGACCACATTGCGTGCCAGTGTCGTCACCACGTTGCCCTTCTCCCCATCCGAGGACATGCCCAAGAACTCCTTGGGATCCGGTATCGGGAATAGGTTGTAATACGAAAGAAACTTGGACATATTTTAAACTTTATTTGATAAACTAAATTGAAAACAAATTGCAACACGTGAAGTCGGTACAGTGTGACCGTGATCTGCCGGCAAACTATACCAATTATATAAAAATACCAGTTAAATACCATAGCAGGGAAAAAATCAATCGTTTGATACACTATTCACACTAATGGGGATTTTATGAAATATGGAGAACATTCAATAAGGGATGAACTTAGATTAACTATTTATGTTTTTAAGCCTAGTACTCTGACGAGAAAAATCCGCTGTATAAATTTAGACAGCGGCCAAACTCCATATAAAAAAAACGGTGTCGAAAAAAAAGAAGAAGAACTTTTAGACACGTCGTTTTTTTCGGTACTCTGACGACGAAAATGAAGCCTGCGAAAATTGAATGGCGTTGCCAGATCAAGATAGTAAACAGCTGATATCGCGCTGTCTAAATAATTCATTTGATTTATTTAGACACCCCTAATGGAGGGAAAGTTGAAGGAAAAAGGTGGCATTGATAGGGGCTGTCAAGGGGAAGCCCATAATATGGAATTTAACCCACAAAGGACATTTTAATGCCATATTTATTAATATTTTTAATATTTTTTTTGAATATTTGTTTACAAACAGCTGTCCAGTGTGACCATGGAAAATCCTTAAACGCCATAAAAAGTACATTTTCATGGCATTTCAAGTTTTTCCTTAATTTTCTTTGGTCGCACTAGCTCGGTAGCGAAATAAACAGCGATTCCGCTGTCTAATTTAGACAGCGGGTTTTTCTCGTCAGAGTACTAGGCTTAAGAGTACTAGATTTAAAACCGTATTTTATTATCGGTCCAAATCTAGAATCTAGTATATTTTATGTAGATCTATCGATTTTCGCGGCAATTAAGTAGTTAGTGCATTTTTCTAGGGCAATAAAGTGCCATATAGTCATCTTGCTCTCACTTGTGTGTAAGAGGCTATAGACTTTTACGAAATTTGTAATTAATGCGCTAGTATCATAATAGTGATACAGGTATTTTTAAGATGAAAGAAAGAAATAATTCAAGGATCGACCAATTTTCTGCTCGCTTGGGGAAAGTGGCTCTGATAAGTGAGGTTAAGGAGAAGCCCATAATATGGGATTTCACTTTTGCACTTATAAAATTAGTTTACAAACAGCAGTTCAGTATTATTCTGGCTTTTCCTTAATTTTTTTGGTCACACTGGTTACCGAGCAAAGTATAAAGCGATTGGGCTATCACTATTGTGACATTGGTTTTTGGTCTCACAGTACTACGCTTTACAGGCATTATGGTGGGAAAGTGGAAGAAGAGATATAGTTCTAGGATCGAGAAATTTTCTGCCCGCGGGGAGAAAATGGCTTTAATAAATGCGGTCAAGGCGAAGCCCATAATGTGGGATTTAAACCACAAAGATCATTTTAATGCCAGACATATCAAAAGTGCCTGGGAGGAAGTTGCCGCAGAGTTACAGAAAGACGGTAAGTAATTAATACTTAATTAAATGATTACAAAAATTGAAGTCTTTCAAAGTGAGCGTTTGCAGAAACGCATGGAAATCCCTGCGGGCCAGCATGCGCTACCACCAGAAGATGTCCATAACAAGGAAAACAAGTGGAAGTGCTGCAGGGTCCGACGTTCCCGATCCGAAGGCGAATGACGACTATGATTGGGTCTTTGCGCCACATATGACTTTTTTGCCGGACCTCTGGGAAAAAAGGGGGTATGTTTGGGTCCAGCTTCCAAGGTTGTAATAATTTTAAATGCATTAATACACAGACCGCTTCAGCTACCAAAACCACCAGAGGCGTCAACCTTGTGCGAAACTTCCGAGGAATCAGAAGACGTGTTTGCCGAATACCTCGACGAAAGTCAGCCGAGCAGCCCATTCGACCAGAGCATGTTAGAGGAGCAGGAGCTACAGCTGCAGAAGGAAATTGAGGACATGGAGAAGGAGAGAGCTGACCGCTGTGTGCTAACACAGAAATTTTCGGAGTACGTGGACTTGCAGAAGTCCATACTATCGCAGGCCCCAAACGTTCGGTCGCTGGTCTCCTACTGGGGCAGTATACTACAAGATCTGCCAAAAGAACTCCAAGATGAAGCCGAAGAGCGTGTAACCAAATTGCTGTGGGATTTGAAAAAAAGAGCAAAAAACTATAGATAAAGTTACTAAGTATTTATTACTAATTTCGTCAAAATAAAAATATAAATGTCTGTCTTTTTCTTAAATGTTTCAAATCGTCTTGCCATTGTACAGATCCCATGTCCGAATTATGTTAATTTCTTATATTATTTCGCACAAATTTCGGATAGGCGCAGGGGCCGTCCACGGTTTGTTTCTGAATCCGTAGTCTCCACCGAAATCACAGTCCACTCGTAGGCAGCAGCTGTTCAGTGACGATAAATGAAAACCTGGTTTTAATCGGAATCGATATATTGACAGCTCAGCCCTGGTGCGCCACGTGCTATCGATAAAGTGCATTTGCGAAGAAGAAGAAGACTAATATGGGTGGAAAGACAAAACAAGCGCCGCGAACCAAAAATAATGCAAAAGTAAGGCGTAATTGAGCAGAATTGCACATTCAAGGACGAACTAATACCCGAACCCTTTTAGCCTTCGAGCAGCAGTCGGACAGCGGAGCTGCTGGGCAGCACGCCGATCTTCGTGGGCTTCTCCGCGCAGGCGGATGGCGGTGGCCTGGTGCCGTTCGCTCCGGGATTCGCCAGTGCCGAACAAATGCCAGACAGCTTCGACGCGGCCATCAGCCCGCAGACACAGATCATTCTGCGCAAACTGTCCAAGAAGGACCCGATGACCAAGAAGAAGGCTCTGCACGAGCTCCAGGAACTCATCGAACAGTCTGACGTGGAGACCTTGAAGAGCATTCTGCCCCTGTGGCCCAAGTACTACTTGAATCTGGCCAGTGACCCCGAGCACAATGTCCGGGAACTGACGCAGACGGTCCTGCAGCTGCTTATGGCAAAGTGCAAGAAGGCTATGGCTCCATACCTGAAGTTGCTGGTTCCCGTCTGGCTAGGAAGTCGCTTCGATACATACGCTCCAGCCGCCAGCATCGCGGGTCAATCTTTCCGAGAGACCTTTGCCGGCAGTGCGAACCGCACTAGGGAGGTGTGCATGCACTGCCAGCTGGAGATACTTGAGTACGCCACCCGAAATCTGACCTTTCACACTGCAGCAACGCTTTCCATTGGGAAGAGTCTCACGGCAGAAGAGGCGGAACAGAAGTACCAGCGCGTTGTTATTAGCAGCCTGAAGGTTTTGTCCTTCTTCCTGGAAGAAACGGCTCAAACGGAGGAGCTCAGCCAGGTCAAGGAGGGATTCGGCACGCTGGTGACCCATCAAAAATTCTGGAGCTTTGCCAAGCACAAAATACCGGCCATAAAGTAAGTTAAATAACTCTTCCCAGAAAAACGTAAATGCATATGCTTGGTTTTCCGTACAGAGCCGCTTGGTTTGAGTGCATCTACCACGTCCTGCAATCGGTTGCCCTTCTGGAAGTGCTATCTCCGCAAAAGGCGCAGTTGATAACGCTCTGCTTCCAGTTCATAGACGACGCCGATCCCGTAGTAGCCCCTCACGTTTGGGGCTGCATCTTGCTCCTTCAAAATAACTACGAGGATTGGTGAGATAATACCTTAACATGTCTGATTTTGCCTCCGTTTAAAACGTTAAAACGTAATCAATAATCAGGTTCGTTCCCCTCAACGTTCGGAAGGCCCTTCTTCCGAAACTGTCGTCCCTGCTCCGCAATGGTTTCAATCGCAATGCCCAGGCCATCTGCCCAAACCTCCTTCCGTTTCTGTCCAAGATAACACCCACTGCCCTACAGGATCTGGATATTTACGAGTTTTACCAGCGCTTCTTTGACGACATAAAGCTTGCCGTCACCGGCAAGTTCGATCCTCCGCTCTCCAAATCGGACTGTACAGTAGTCCACAATACCTATTTTGAGTGCCTTCGATTCCTGATCCAGCAGATCAACAACAGCAAGGAGCGGGAGCCGAGGGAGCAGGAATTCGCGGAGGGATTGCTTCAAAATAATGTACTGGAACCCATTGGCTGGCTGTTGAAAAGCGAGAGCGCACACGTGAAAAACTTCTTCCAGCACAGCTCGGCGCTGGTTGCCTTCTGGGACCGGCAGATCAACAATGGCCTGGACAATGGTGGACTGTACGCCAAGTTGCTCAATCAGTTCTGGTCGCGCATCTTTGAGCTGGTCACTCAGGATCTGGCGCTTGAGGAGGTGAACGAGCAGCTACTCTCGCATGTCTTGCTTCTCGTGCACGACCTGCACATGGCCAATCCCAGCCTGGAGTCGCCCAGTGTAAAGTTTGTGGAGGAAGTGGAGGGAAAGGTGGAGAAAAGCGAGCCTACCACACCGGTAAAAAAGGCTCAGGAAGCGGCTGCGTTTATACAGAAGGAACTGAAGCAATTGGTTGTGAAGCTTGTGAGGATCTGCCTGGACAAAGCAAGTGGCAGCGCTTCCTCTCGTTATGTTGACCAAATTCGCACTCTCACGAAAATGTTTACCGATGCGGCGTTCTACGAGAGTCTAACAGATCGCGGGGACCTACGTGGAGCGCTCGATAAATTTGTGTCCCTGCTGGATTCCCCAAATGACGAGGCCTGCGAATCGATTGTGGAGATAGTATTTGAAATTCTGCTTCTATTAGAACCAGAGCAGCGTTTTGAATATATTAAAGACACTCTTCTGAAGGTAAGTTATTTTTAATGACAAGATGAGGAACGCCAAGAAATTTGTTGCACTCGAATTTTTTCGTATTTCTAATTGTTTAAAAATTTCATGTTTATCTTTTTTACAGCTACAACAGCACCGAGTTCAGAGCCTTCTGCTCCATCGCCTGCTCTCCTATCCTCTTTGCCAGGAGCCCGCCGTAAGGCAGATGCTCAGTTGCTCGGACACCGGCAGCGTAATTGCCCGGATAGCGGCCGAGGTTGTGGTTGATAACGATCGGGAAAAGCTGAACCTGCTGCACAAGTGCTTCTTTCAAACGGACACCGGCGACATACTCATCAATGCTGAGACTGTGGATAAAATACTGCTGGCCATGTGCGGTCCTCTGGAGCAGCCGGAGCTGGTCGATGACATGGTGGAGGTGTGTGGCAGCTTCATTGCCCAAATAATGCCTGTGATTTGCAGCAACGACAACTCTTCGGTGGGCGTGCGTCAGCAGATCTTCCTCACCCTGTTTAAGTTTAGCTTGGAGCATCGTCCGGAGGAGTATCTGTCAGAGGACACTCTATGGGAGATAACCACGTGCTGGCAGGATGCGCTGTCTAGTAAAGACATTGAAGTCGACAGTGCAACGCTAAAAAGTTGCGCTGGCATAGTGGAGGACTTGGCCACGAGCGCCGACCTGAAGGCCGAAAATCTCGATGGAATGGCAGAGGCGATGGCCAAGTTTGTCATTTGCTCCACCGAAAATATTGAGGATGAGGAGAAGCGCTTGACTCGTATAGATGAAACAATAGCGGCTCTGCTCGAGTCTCCCTTGAAGACAAGCGAAAAGGTCAAGCGGTTTGAGAATCACTGCGTTCTCTTGGACGCTCTGCAGGGATCTGTGAGTGCGGGAGTTCCCTTCGAGAGCGCTTCCTTCGCGGACAATCACATTCTTCCGCTCCTCCAACGTTCCACGCTCAACTTCTTTACACTGTACAAACTGGTCTATCAATTCCCCCCACCCCAAACGACAAATGATCCCGAAGATGAGCTTACCGAGGACTACTGCGATCCGAATGCCGATGTTCTCACAAAATGGAGCGAGTCCTTGATTCTCGAACTACTCCAGTGCATTCGAGTAGCTGGCACAGCAGAGAGCTGGCTGGAAGTTTCCGATCTGCAGCCTTCAATGCAGGAATTGGTGCTGGTATTGTCGGAGAAGGTCAAGAGCTTTATGGGTAACAGTAGTGGGCTAGTGGACATAGTCAAGGATCGCCTCCAACTGTCGGCCCAACAGCAAGGCAGCGTTATTAGCTGCCGTCTTCTGAGCTACCTGACCTACTGTCCCCAGTACGCGGCTTTCGAGGAGAGCGCCACAATTCTGCTTCACGAGAATATCGCCGAATCTTTGGTTTCCCAAGGAGCTCACAAAGCCTATACAATGGCCCTGCAGGTGAGAGGTCTTGGGATATGCTAGAAGAAGAAGATTTTTCTATCGAGTTATATCTTTGCAGTATCTCTTGCCTAGGCTTTCCCAGAAAGCCCTCAGTCTCAACTCAGCTATAATGCGAACGGAGCCACCAGAGATTTGGGTCAAGGCCGCTGTGTTCCATGCCCTACTCCTCAACAATTTCGAGGCTGAGATTAACGAGAAGACGGATCGTAATATCATTGTGTCGGCCGTGCAGTTCATGACCAGCATTGGAGAAAAGCAAGCGACCCAGAAGGATTTGCTCCATTACAATGTGTAAGAAAGGCAGCCCGGAGATCTTTTGAGCCATCATTTCATGAATAACTTTCAGAGAACTAGCCAAGCAGCCCTTCGAATCGGTTATAAATACGGTGGAGTTTATCAAACTCCTAACTGAGGTTCTCAAACGGTTTCCCTACGAGCTGAGTATCAAAAACTGGGATGCCATTCGCATTGGTCTCAGCTCTTGGGTTCTCACTGTCTCCAAATCTATAGCTCAATTTGACGACCCAAAGGTTTGTTGTTGTTAATGCTTTATAAGTGCAATATTTTCACTAGTTTATTTCCCTTTCAAGACTTGCTTATTCGTGGTGGCAGTATATCAACTGTTCGGCGCGCTGATTGACTTCATTCGGTCAGAGAAGCAAAAGAGCTCAACGGAATTACTCAAGAATGTAATCGAGGAATGGGACTCTCTGTTTGCCAAGGAAGTCAGTGTGGTGCTGTTTAAGGCCTACTACCAGTTGACCCACGAGGCGAGTGTGGAGCCAGGCTTTCAGGCCTGTTATGAGGCCATGTTGGAGGGTCTGCTGCCTGCCTTAGAGCTGCTGGACTACAGCTTTGTTTATGCGGTAACGACATTGCTACAAAATAATGCATACAAGTCGGACCAATTAAGACTCTCTCTTACTTTCAGTTCTGCAAGACAAACAGCAAAATCACCCTGGACCATCTCTGCAATTTCCTGTTCAAGCAGCTCTACAGCGCTCAGCACTCGATTCGGCTGAGTGCCGTGAATGCTCTGCGCCAGTTAACGCCCCACTTTGTGGCGGACGACATTGAACTGAATGAGAAGCAAAGCGAGAGTCTCAGTGCCACCATCTCCAAGTGGCACTTCCTCAACAGATTCGAGGACTACCTGACGCGCTACGATGCCCTGATACGAAAGTACCTGGATGAGTTCACTTTCAAACTGACGGAGCTGGAGGATCTCGAGCCCATAGACAGACACGAAGCGCTGAGCTACCTCCTCCTATGGGACTGCATCATCAATGCGTGTGCCAAGTCCCCAGTTGCCCTGAGAGCCGTCTACACCAACTGGCTGAATGATAACAAATACGAAGAGGTAGTAAAACTGTACTTGTGATTTGGGTTCGCACTCTAAAATTTCGTCGATACATTATAGAATTTTCTGCACTTCCTCTTCCGCGCCATGCCAGTGGACATTCTGAAAAACCATGGGAACAAGGTGCACAGCAACGGCGTCTACAAGGAGCTCACTTGGCTTCAACTGAAGGGTAAGCTAGCGACGCCTTATTTTACTGTTCCTCCGACAGGTCATCGGCATTGAGGACGTCGGGCATATAGTCCTCGTCGTACTCATAGTCGCCATACTCGGCACCGGGTTCATCAGCGCCGAGCATCTCTTCGGCGCCCATTTCATCGCTCACTGAAATGTAGTCCGACAAGGGCACGAATTGTTCGGGATCGTTATAGGCAAGCATGGGGCGTTGCTCGGGCGGCTGCTGTTGCGGCGCCAGGTAAATGTTCAGGTTCGATATGAACTTGTTGATCCAAACGGTCAGATTGTTGGCAAGGATCCGTTGATATTCTCGTAAATTGCTTGTCGTGTAGAACTCTTGATCTGTGGAGTATTTTATGGATTAATTCAATGGGAAACATACCACACAATTTTCGAAAATTGTTATTTTTTTGGTTTATATAATAGTTTATAATTTATAGAATATAATGTGTAAGTTTCATTATCGAATTCCAACCCTAAATGCAAAGTTTTTTGTGAATTGTGTCCACAACTAGTGGGCAGTTCTCTTTTCATCGTACTTTTTATGTTGATTTTTAAATTAAAAAATTGATCAATTAGAGCATTTCTCTGTGCAACTTTTTGAACAAACTCATTTACGAAAACTTTAAATTTACAAAAATTTGTAAAAACGCCAAAAATTAAAGGAGGAGAAAATGCCGTTTTTTTGATGCGCCATCGTTAACACTGGTACATGCTTAATTTGAGGCACTTAAAGTTTGAATTTCATAGTGAAACTTTCACAGTGTATTCTAAAAACAAAAGGCTATCTTTAAGACATTTAAAATTGCCCAAAAAATTTTGGTTTACAGGTATGTACCTACTTAACCAAGTCACTTTAAAGAGGATCCTCTCTGGCTTAAAACTTACCTGTAAATTCTCGAAGTCTTTCAAGTATCACACAACAAAGCGGCGAGTTCTCGTCTACTATGAACTGATCGTTAAGCAGGAAGTCCTTCATTTCCTCAAACAAAACACAAATGATTTTCTGCATTTGTTTCTGCTGACGCTGCAGGATGCGTTTCTTGAGACCCTTGCAGCGGCGCTTATGCACACGCCTGGCCGCTCTGCGTTGGCGCATCTCCTCCTCCATATACTCCAGTGCCCTTTCCATGGTCATGGCCTCCACCGGAGGCTTGGGCCTCATCTGATACTCGAGAGCAGCAATGTGGCGCGGCGATAGATAATCCTTGAAGTACTTGAAAGTATCGCTCACCCGCAACGGATGCGGATCGGCCAGACGCTCCACGCGGGCCGTGCACTGGTTGACGGAGATTTTCTTAGTGTAGTAACGCGGCTGTTGAGCCACCAACTGCGGCGATTTGAAGTCCTTCTTGGGAGTGGCTAGGAAGCAGATATGCTCCTCTCGCGACAGTACGTCTCTGTCGATGATGATCTGGCCCGTATGCTGGCAGGCCACGTAACAGGGATGGTAGCGTGGGCAAACGCAAATAAATCTATGGGTTAATAAAATGTTTTGAAAAGGTTTGGTTGGCGTTGCTCAGTTTACAATTTACACTTTTTGTAACCGGACCGTCAATAATGATTATCGGGATAATTTCAATGAAAAATCAATCAATCCTTGTTGAATAATCTATACATTTTTGGCATGATTTTAATTTTTCAAACTTGGATGAAATTATATTGTTCCACCACATCGTACCACCACGTTAGGTACCGAGATATTTATAGATATATAGATATATATTTTCTGCCTCGCTTGGTGTAACCTCTTAATGCACCCCTAGACAGACTTACCTGTACAGGCTCTGCAGCTCATTGGTTGGGTATTTTACCAGGCGGCGAATGGGCTTGGCTCGCGACTCGCGCACATGAACCATGGCCAGGCGCGCATTGAGCTCGTCCGCCACCGTGGGTCCCTCCGCAGTGGTTGGATCCACCGGCTTGTGATCCACTCGTTCTTCGCACTGCGTCTTTAGAAAGTTGATTGCCTCAGCAACAGTCACCCTTTCGCCCTTCAGCTGCATGCGTTTCGGCGGCGGCATCTCGGAGGGCATGTTATGGAAATTAACTGGCTTTTCGGAAGCCATGGTCCTCAATAGAACGGATATACAAAACCGAAAACGGAGAAAAACAAGTCTACGAACTAAACGTTTCGGACGATCGAGCAAACTACTTTTGACTATATAAACACACGTTAGAAATGAAATACAGCTACCAGCCTGGCTTGGCTTGCCCTGATCAATCCCTAACTCGCTTTATTACAATTGCAGATCGAAAGCTGTCACTGGAGCGATATGTGTGTCACCTGTACACGGAGGTGCTGCGCAAGCTGCCTGCCGTGGTGCGCAGATGGTGGAATGCCACTCAGTCCAGGCAGAAGAACTTCGTAGACAACCTTACCACCAACTATGTGAGCTCGCTGATCTGCAGCGAGGAGCTCAAGGCTATCGCCAATCGAAAGGAGAAGCACGAGAATATGCAGGTGAGCGATGAAGCAGAGGCTGCAGGCTCTACTTGATTCCTTAGATGGTAAAGCCCGTACGCAGTGTAAATACAGTTACGATGCAGATTAGCAGTATAATTAAGACAATAATACGGAAAATCTCCAGAGTCAGCATGGTGCTCTTTACGCGGCTCAATTCTTTCGCTCAGGGAAACGCACTTTTTTCCCTTTTAGCCTGAAGGAACCCAGGCTACTGAGCGATTTGAACAATATAATTTGTCTGGTTTTAAATCAACACACTTACATTCCGCGATATCATCATCGTTTCCTTTATTATCCCTAGGTCACCGTTCACTCTTCCACCAGAGAAGTGCTTGCGGTCTATGCCATCGATGAGGCCCGCATGGAGCTGGTAATTACTCTGGCTCCCAACTATCCTTTGGGTGCCGTCAAGGTGGAGTGCGGCAAGCAGATCGGTGGGCGGGCCTCCTCCCGAAATGTGGGCATGCAGCTGACCATCTTTCTTACACATCAGGTACGTGAATATCGCTTCATGGGCATAAAATGCCCATCGATGTATGAGTTTATCAGGTCAGGGTGCGTGCACAAGGACGTCGATAAGAAAACTTCGACTGGAATAAATCGTTTGGCGTTACTCATCTGGTTTTTATATGATCTTTATTGTTTTTTTGTTAGAATGGCACTATCTACGACGGTCTAACGATGTGGAAAAATAATCTGGACAAGAAGTTCGAAGGCGTTGAGGAGTGCTATGTGTGCTATACCGTCATCCACCAGGATACTTGCCAGTTGCCAAAGCTTACGTGCAAGACCTGCAAAAAGAAATTCCACGGACCCTGCTTGGTAAGCGTTTTCGGACACGTTTCTTTTCCGTTATCAAGCTTAAATATTTCCTTGCTTTCAGTACAAATGGTTCACCACTAGCAGCAAGTCCACATGTCCCATTTGTCGCAACGTCTTCTAGATGGAACCCATCCAGTCCCCAGATGACAACACGTATTAAGTGAATGCACAACCAAATCCATTCGATGTAGGCAATAGCTTTGGTCTCTTTTTAAAAATGTAAATCAGCAATAGCAATAAATTCGTGTAATGTTTCAATGTTCTTGATGATGCGTTAAGTGAGGGGACCCGAAAATTGTTTGTAAATTATTTTAAAATTAAAGTTTAAAAAGAAGAAAATATAAAAAAGGCGCTAAGATAATGGGATATACAGATGTATCAGGATTAATAAAGGGAATAAGCGGAATGTCCTTATTATAATCACCCTGTGTGTGATCACATCTTAAGTTCTCGGCAAAAAATGACAAAATATTGATAAATTTATTGATTTTAAATCAATATTTTAAAGTTGCGATATACATTAGAGCGATAATATTGACACAAAATCGAAAAACTTGAGAAATATATTTATTTATATCGATATTTTGATCTAATGCTATATATTTCGATATTTAAAAATTCGATAAGTCGAAGCAATATTTTCGATATGACATCGGAATTTTCCTCAAACATTTTTCACACATCGTCGGCTTATTTTTCAAGTTTTTTTTTAAGGAGGACTCGGATTTGAGATGAATTCGATACACCGAAATGCTGGTCAACCCAATAAATAGTGATGGCTTTGAACCCATATTTGATCCTTGAATAAAACGAAATTAAAAAAATAATACTAATGAGCAGCTTGAAGTCAAGTAAATCAACTTACCATACGCCGGCAAACTCTACCCCTTGACCCCAACGAAAATGAGCCCACTTTTCGCGCCTGCGCCTCGGGAAATAATTTCCTCGGGGTGGGGCCCGCAACACATGATGACTCGCCTTCGCCTTCGCTTTCGCCTTTGCGTTCGCATCGGTTTTGCTCAGTTGTGCAGTTTTGCAAGCTGCTAACTGGGATTACACACGCCATCAGCTCATCCAACTGGACTGTATGTCAAGTGCACAAAATGACGTAAGACACGCGTTTTAGATGATGAGCCCCCGGGAACCGAAACTTGGCCAGCGCGTTGAGGTAACGGGTAAACATCTGCACGGTAAGGTTGCCTATGTGGGTCGCACTAACTTCGCCGCCGGCCTATGGTACGGCGTAATTCTGGACGAGCCGCTGGGCAAGAATAATGGTACCATCCACGGCCATGTATACTTCAAGTGCCCCACCAACTGCGGACTGTTTGTGCGAGCCCAGCAGCTGGTGAGGATTGCCGAGTTGCCCAAAGGAGCGGATAATCAAAAAGCCGATGAAATGCAACGTGAGGGGGCCCGAGGGAAACTCACGAGGCGGAGTGGTGGGGCGAAGTCCGTGGAGGAGCATGTGAGTAATGCCAAAGGAAAGGTCAATGTGGGATGTGAATATATATGCTGTGCTCTATTTCCTGCAGGATAACCAGAGGGAGCCGATGGCCGGCACTTCTGGTAAAACGAAGGGAGCTCCCTCAAGTCCATCGTCACCGCAGCACCGGACCAGGAATGCTCACTCTCCCCGAGATCAGACATTGGCCAAGACTTCTGGGAAGTTTTTGGTAGCCCAGCAGCAACCTCTACAGCTTCCAAAGGTAACTGGGTCAAAGGGATAGAGTGTGTGCAAAACTGTACAATTTATGAATATGTCTCCTATTGAGATGACACATAATTAGTTGTTTCAAAATCAGCATTCAAGAGAGTTGATAGCAAATAAATTCCTATATCTTTGCAGAATTCAAGTGTGCCTGAAGTTGATTATCACAAAACGGAGGTCGTGGAAGACGTAAAAGATTCCCTTAAAAAAGCACTAGCTTCGCAGTCTAAGGAACTTCCAAGGCAGATGGAGTGCGAGGAACCCATTGATTCTGAACAAAAGGTTGGCGACCCGGTTGAAAAGCAGGAGACCCCAATGGAATCCACAGAAGCAGCCAAGAAGGAAAAGCCTGCCGATCCGCTCCAGACCAGCACAATTGGAGAGTTGCAGGCTCACCAGCGGGCGGCACCGCAACTCACACCGCCTGCAATGACCTGTAACCAGCGGCGATCCACATCCTACACGCAGTTGAGACCGACTAGGATCAGCCAACCAAAGCCAACCACAGCTCAGGCTCAGAGTTCTACAGCGCAGTTGACTCTGGCCATGCCGGTGCCCTTGGCCTTGGCCCCGAAACGCAGCAAGACGAGCATGAGTCCTACGAGCTGTGTAAAACGAGCGGCGCCAGCCGCCTTTGTCGAACCCGGTTTCCTGGAGATCCTGCGGCCGCAGTTCACGCCTGGACCGGCCCTGCGAACACCTAGCACGGCAGCTCCTCCGGTGGACAATCCGGAACTACGACAACTGAGGGAGGAGCTTCAGTTGCTGAGGGTGCAGAAGAGCGAAGACAAACTAAAGCTGCTGGAGCTGGAGCGGATGCGGATTCACAACGAGCAACTTATGGAGTTTAAGTCACAGATAATGACGCAGCAGGTGTTGCTGCAAAGGGAGCTCCAAAGGTCACGAAACGAACTCCGGGAAGCTCAGGACGTTTCCTCAAAATTCAAAAGGGAGCTAGATGAAATAGCCGAGAGCATTGAACTGCTCACCCTGGACAAGGAAATGGCGGAGGAACGGATGGAAACTCTGCAAATGGAACTGGAGATGGCTCAAGAGCGGAACGACGAACTTACCCTGGACGTCGAGATCCTCAAGGCTGAGCAGGAGGAGCAGATGGGCCAGCGCATTGAAAAGAACGAGAAGCTAGCCGGAATTGGAGCGACACCGCAATCCACCGGCGAGTTCCTTCGGCTAGAACAGTACAATCAACGGCTCAGGGAAACGGTGGTTCGGCTAAGGGACACTCTCGCCCAGGAGAAGCAAAGCAGTCAACGCACACACAAGGAACTGGAGACCAAGCACTCGGAGATCAACGAGCTAAAGAACATCAAGGAGTTGCTCAGCAGAAGGGTGGACCACATGGAAGTGCAGCTAATGGATCTGAAGGAACAGGTAGACGCTTCTCTGGGAGCGGAGTCCATGGTCACGCAACTGGCTTGTCTGAAACTGGAGCTGGAAGATCGTGTCAAGCTGCTGGAGGACGAGGTTTACGAGCTAGAGGCCCTGGAACAAATCCAAGAGCAACTTATAGAAAGTAACCAGGAGCAGGAAAATGATTTGCGCGAGGAGATCGACAAGCTGGGTGGTCAGGTGAAGATTCTAGAGCGGCAGAAAAACGCAGCCATGGAAAGTCTCTATGATCGCGACGTAACCATCATGAAATTCCGGGATCTGGTTAGGCAACTCCAAGAGCAACTCCAGGTCCGGGCAGACGGCACCCTGTCCATCGAGGATTTCAGCAGTGCCAACGAGTCGCAGCAGGAGGAGGCCTCCAATCAGAGCCAGACGGATTACCAGCACATTTTTAGTGTGAGCAAGGCGTATGGAAGGGCCATGGAGCAGCAGATTAAGGCCGTGGAGTTGAGGTTGCAGTGCAAGCACTTGGAGTACGTCCTCGCCTTCGTTCCCGAACAGTTCCTTTTGCGCGGAGGGGAGCACGACGTGGTGCTGGTCATGCTGCTCCTAGAACGGATGAACGAGAAACTGACCATCGTGTGTCAGGCCATCAATGAAAAGTTTCCCGCGGCCTGCGAATTCGGTAAGGAATTTTTATTTTGTGTTCCATATAATTTGTAATGCTCACTCTTCTCGCCGCAGGACGCGATGCCATATTTGAGGGCTACTCCGTGCAGCGGTATATCTTCCGGTCGCAGTGCCTTTACCTTCTAAAGAGCCTTCAACTGGTGCTCCAGCAGTTCCGTCACGGACTCAACCACTGCGACTACGAACTGTGCACCCATGCGGCCATCTACCGGAGTGACCTGGAGGGCCAGGAACAGCAGCTGGACGAGTTTGTGCGTCTGCTGAAAACGGGACAACTGGATGAGCACACAAACTGCGAGCCCATCCAGAGGGTTCTTCACTATGTGAGTGGATTGCATCAGAACCTTATGCCCCCTCAAATGCTGGTGGAGCTCCTGGACGAGCAGCAGCTGTACGGCACCCTCATCGAGGTGTACGAAGCGGGGCTGGATGCTGTGAATGCGAATGCAGGCCTAATGCACACCATCATCCAGCTGGGACATGAGCAGACCGCCTCCTTTCACTGCATGCAGCTGCTGATGGAGACGAGCTGTGCCCACAAGCAGAAACTGAAGAAGCTGCAGAGAAAGCTGAGTAGCAGTAAGACAGCTTCCTGGACGGGAATGCAGTGTGCCAGGTACCAGAGAATCCTGGAGGCCAATGAAGCGCTAGGTGCACTTATCCGACTACTAGGATCCACTGCTCGGGAGGCGAGCAAGGATTCCAACGGGGGTATAGCCCACGAGAAGCTGTGGAGAGTGCTGGTGCTCAACTACAATAAGTTCGCTCCTGCTTGCCAGGAGGCTGAGGAGCCCAAGGAAGTGGACGCCTATAGTCACCGGTGCATGCAACTCCTGGAAGAGCAGCTGGACGAGCTCTTCGCGCTCCTAGAATCCACGGATGTGAACACGGAGTATGTGCGTCATCCCGTCAGCAACACATTACAGGAACGAGCTGCCCAGGTAAAACGCCACTACGAGGACGTGAAAACCCTTGAGCTAACCGTTGGCGAGCGAGACAAGGAAATAAAAAGCCTCAAGTACATGGCCAAGATGAAGATGCAGGACTTCTCCGAGCTGCAGATCCGCAAGGAGATGGCCGAGAAGCAGCTCAGCAAGCAATGCCTAGTGCTCGCCGGATTCGCAGAGGCTGTGGAGCAACTGGAGCAGTCCCTCCTTGCCAAGGAGGCAGCCCTGGGACAGGCCTTGACCATTCTGGCCGATAAGATCTCAATTCTGGAGCAGGCCCAGCAGACCTGGCGGGAGCAGCAGCAGGCCGATAGTGCCTGTGTGACCAGCACTGCGATTAGCTCCAACCGGGAGATGAACATGCTGCACCAGGCCCTACGTCAGGAGCGATCCCTGCGCGTGAAGCTGCAGGGCAGCGAAATGAGAAAGACCTTTGCCGCCTTGGAGCCGCTGCATGTGCCCCAGACGGGAAGCCAGGAGCTGACCAATCTGGAGAAGGACCTTCGCTCCCTGAAGAACCAGTGGCTGCTGGCCCACCTGGACATGGGTCAGGCCGGAAGCCAGCGGCGCTTGGAGATCGAACTGCAGGGCAGCCGCATCCTGCGACATATCTTCCAGACATATTGCACCCAGCACCCGCATCGGGCCAAGAGCACGGACTTTGGGCTATTCATAAGCGACGATCTGCGGCTGGCATTCAGTCCCAGTCTCTAGACATACGAGTTAGTGTTCTGTTTCGGTTATAGCAAAGGTATTTGTGATTCGCTGCTTGCATATATGAAAATATATATAAATATATTCATAATTATTTGTACGATACTAGATACTATAAACATACACTCATATATATGCAAAACTGTACAATTCTATAGTTCATGTCGTGTTTATCGGGCAATAAACCAACTTACTTGACTTAGACAAATTATAGCACTGCGTTTTCTTATTGTAATGTAGCTTCGGACCTCTCAAATAAAGTATATTTACAACAGGAGCGATCAGTGATTCAATTCAATTAATCTCAGTGTCGAGCATCCCCGACTGTGGCGTTCTTAAATGTCGTTTATTTGAAATTAACACTTTACAAGATACCAATATGCAATCCTTTATGTACAAGTAGTCGGGCATGGTAGGGGGCGCGCAGTTTGAGATGAGAGCAGCGCAAGCAGAAACGCTTATCACATGAGCACAGAATCGGGGATCCAAAATGTGGAGGGGCGGTTGTATAGTTGGTGGTGTTTGGATATTGCATATATCATGGCGGCCGTGTGACATCGCGGTTGTGGTGCATCGTCGTCATTGAGGGGATTTACATAAATACGTTTAATGTTTAATGAGAAGAAGGTTGTGGATTTGAGGCTATTTACAGTTGCAGAACGAACCAAACAATTGCGACCTGTGTGGAGCTAGATTAAAGAAACAAAATGTATAAATAAAGAATAATTATAAAATATTGGTATTACAACTACACAATTTATTGATTTTTAGGTAATTGCATTCCTAAATGCATTCGAACCAACAAGTTCCAACACCTAAATAGCATTATTTATCTTTGAGAAACTATTAAATTGAATTCTAAATTAGTTACCAAGAAAATTATTACACTTTAGTCTGAAACCATGGTCGTGTCACATGACAATGATTATTTTCTTAAAACTATTATTTTATTACTTATTATGATATCTATATTAATCTGAAGGCTTGTATCCTTTGGCCTATACTGTTGCCATCATAGACTATTATTTTTGTATATTTCTTCTTTACTTTAAATAAACCCCTTAATTCAAAAATAGGTCGGGATGCAAAGAGTGATCCCGTGATCAGCGAGCTGGAGATATTCAGATCCATCGAAGGTGCTTGAGGGTCACCTTTTCATTTAGGATTTTTTTTTTTAAATTGACTAGTCTAACATAATATAAATAAATCCTAAATCATGCGCTGTAATAATAATAAAATAATCTTAATAAAAATAATCTTAAAATGTAATATGGATCTGTTCCAAAACAAACGATATAAGCATTGAATATTCGAATTAATAATAGTATTTATCTAAGCTTAAAAACTATTGAATTCTAAAGGACGTAGATATTATGTAAATACCAAAGTTTTTACTTCTAGTGCCTATATACCGTACTATTATTTAAATATTGTATACTAGTAAAGATAAAAAAATATATAAATGTATTTTTTTCTGATTTAAGCAAATAAATGTGTTAAATTTATAAAATAGCACTCACCTCACGACTTGGCTGCTGCCTGACGTTTGGCCACTATTTTGCCCTGATCGCGACTGTTGATGACCTCGGCATGGAAGCCCGTCTCCCAGTCCGCGTAATACTTCACAGTGCGCACATTTCCATCGGGCTCCACCAGTGAGTACTCTCCCTTGACCACGTCGCCGTCGCGCTCCTCCTTTTGGTGCTTGTTATCGCCCGTGTGGGGATCATTTACGGCATACTCGAAGGCATAGCGTGGATGGGCATCCTGTGGGACTCTTCAGTATCAGCTTTTACACGGGAATTGATAAAAAATGACTTACAAAGTGCTCCAGATGCTTCTCGGGCACCACTTTCAGCAAGGCCGGCTGGGCCACTGGTGCTGACTTCAGGTAGGCGGTGGCCGCCACAGGGGCGTGGCTGCTTACTGCCGGCACACTGGGAGCATAGCGGTAGAATCCGGCACCTAGGGGCCCAATGCCGCCTACTCCATGCGAGTATCCGCTCAGAGAGGAGTCCAGATGAGCGAGCGAGGAGCTGACTGGGGCAAGACCAGACCCATGGGTCAGCAGACCGTGATAATTGAGGGCTGGCGATACCGCCGCGTGTCCCAGGGAAATGGCTCCATAGTAGCCGCCATCGTGTCCTGCAGCACCCAAACTACCTAGAAGTTGTCATAATGTAATGCATAAGGAATTGGTTTGTTAATTGTTACTATTGGTAATTAAACAATGTTTTAAAAAAAATGCTGAAGGATACTTACCCGCATGGATTCCGTAGGCGGTGCTGCTGGCTAGCTTTCCTCCCAAGCTGTAAGCCGGAGCCGAGGTCAACTTGGTCAGAGGAGCACCCAGCAAGGCGGCCCCGTGGCCATGTCCAATGGACCCATAACCCAGACCCGTTCCCAGTTCCAGTCCGACCGGAGAAGCGATCTTAGTGACCGCAGGACCCGTGCTGTAGTGACTCACAGCTGGGGCGGCATAGGCGGCCACCTTGGCGATCGCTGGAGCGGCTGCAATGGTGGCTACAGCGGGCTTCGACACATACTGATGGGACACAGCTCCCGAGCTATATCCGGAGCCACTGCCCCCATACCCTGTGGCCACTTTCGTGATGGCTGGACCGGTTGAGTAAGTGGCCAAAGCGGGAGCGGCGGCGATGGCGTGTCCAGTGGATATGTGACTCACAGCTGGAGCTGCGTATGTGGCCACCTTGGCTATGGCAGGAGCTGCTGAAATGGCCACTGCGGGCTTGGACACATACTGATGAGAAACAGCCCCCGATCCACTAGCTCCATATCCATGGCCATATCCGTATCCAGTGGCTACCTTGGCGATGGTCGGAGCAGCTGAGATGGTGGAAATTGCAGGAGCTCCATAGGAGGCAATCTTCGATAGGGCCGGTCCAGTGGAGTAGCTGGAAATGGCTGGAGCTGCATAGGTAGCCACCTTGGCTATGGCAGGAGCTGCTGAGATGGTGGCCACCGCCGGCTTCGATACGTACTGGTGGGAGACTGCTCCTGAGCCGCTGATTCCGTATCCTGTATCCAATTTAGTGGGCAAGGCGATGGCCGGAGCAGCAGGCAAGTAGGCCTTGGAGAGAACCGGCGCCGCGGGCAAGTAGGCCTTGGACAGGACCGGAGCCACTGGAGCCACTGCAATGGCAGGCTTTGATACGTACTGGTGGGAAACGGCTCCATGGCCAGATCCCCCATAGCTTGTTGCAATTTTGGTAAGACTGGGAGCAGCTGAGTAGGTGGAAATGGCAGGAGCGGCATAGGTCGCCACCTTGGAGATACCAGGTGCTGTGGCATAGCTTGAGATTGCAGGGGCTGCGTAGGTAGCAACCTTGGCGATGGCAGGAGCAGCTGAAATGGCCACCGCAGGCTTTGAGACGTATTGATGGGAGACGGCTCTTGCCGAACTGTATCCCAAGCCACTTCCTCCATAACTAGTGGCCACCTTGGCCACCACTGGTGCCGCTGAATAAGTGGATATGGCGGGAGCGGCATATGTGGCCACCTTGGCAATGGCAGGAGCAGCTGAAATGGCCACAGCGGGCTTAGACACATACTGGTGGGAGACAGCTCCAGACCCACTTCCGCCATAGCTCGATGAAATCTTAGTGACTGCCGGAGCGGATGAGTACGTGGCCACAGCTGGCGCAGCTGCGGGATAAGCGGCCACTATGGGCTTGGAAATGTACTGGTGGGATACGTCTGCCGCCTGACTGTAGGCCACCTTAGTGAGAGCAGGAGCTGCGGAGTAGGTGGTAACGGCTGGAGCGGCATAAGTGGCTACCTTGGAGACTGCAGGAGCTGTGGCATATGTAGAGATGGCAGGAGCAGCGTAGGTTGACACCTTGGCAATGGCAGGAGCTGCTGAAATGGCCACGGCTGGTTTGGACACGTACTGATGGGAGACGGCTCCATGGCCATAGCCCGTTGCAATCTTTGTAACAGCGGGAGCTGAGGCATACGTGGAGATGGCGGGAGCAGCATAGGTTGCAACCTTGGCAATCGCTGGCGCTGCTGAAATGGCCACCGCTGGCTTCGACACATACTGATGGGACACGGCTCCGTGACTGTATCCGGAACCACTGCCTCCGTACCCGGTGGCTACCTTGGCAACCACTGGAGCGGCCGAGTAAGTGGATATGGCGGGAGCGGCATAGGTGGCCACCTTGGCAATGGCAGGAGCAGCTGAAATGGTCACTGCCGGCTTGGACACATACTGATGGGACACGGCGCCCGATCCACTTACTCCGTAACCGGATGCTACCTTAGACACAACTGGAGCCGACGTATAGGTGGACACTGTCGGAGTGGCATAGGAGGCAATCTTCGAAATGGCTGGGCCAGTGGAGTAGCTGGAAATGGCTGGAGCAGCATAGGTTGCTACCTTGGCTATTGCTGGCGCCGCTGAAATAGCTACCGCTGGCTTCGACACATACTGGTGCGAGATGGCTCCCGATCCTGAGGCTCCGTAGCTGGTGGAGAGCTTGGTGATTGCTGGGGCGGACGAATAGGTGGCCACCGCTGGGGCGGCATAGCTGGCCACCGCTGGGGCGGCATAGCTTGCCACCTGGGCAACCTTGGTGATCGCGGGTCCAGTGGAGTAGGAAGCAATAGCCGGAGCTGCTGCTGGGTATGCGGCCACAATTGGCTTTGAGAAGTACTGATGGGACACGTCCGCCGCCTGGCTGTATTTGGTAATGGAGGGAGCATAGCTGGCGGAGTATCCGGTTCCATGGGCCGACAGCAACGACGAAGTGGTGGCCAACTTAACAGCTGGAGCGGAGTAGGTGGACACCTTGGCAATCGCTGGGGCTGCATATGCCACCGATGGCGAGTAGGTGGCTAATTTGGAGATTCCAGGCGAGATCTGCCCGTAGCTATAGCCCGGTGAGCTGTAGGTTTCCACCTTGGAATAGCCCGGAGTGGCCTTGGAGTAGGTGTAGCCGGGCGAGCTGTAGGTCTCCACTTTCGTGGTCACCGGTGGGGCATAGAAGGGAGCGCTTGATGGTGCCGGAGCTGTGTATGTGGCCACCTTGGATATTCCGGGAGTGGCTGAGCTATAACTATATCCTGGCGAGGTGTACGTGGCCACTTTGGTGTAACCCGGAGACGGTGGCAAATACGAGTTGTCCAACTTGGGAGCCGTTAGCACGGTTTTGGTGATAGCTGGCGATACCAGGTTCTTGATTTCTATCCCGGATGGCACCACGGTGGCGTACTTGGCAGCCGGGGACTTCTCCGCGTAGGTTATACCCGCTCCATACTCCGCCGAGGGTGTGAACAGGTCCTTCTGCACCGGAGCTATGTACTTATTGATTTGGGTTACTCCACCGTGGGACAAGCCCTCGATGCCGGCGGTGGACTCATAGGAGGTTCCCCCGCTGCCCACCGAGGTGTGCAGAAGATGGCCGTTCTCCGAGTAAGTGGAAACCGCAGGGCTCTGGCTGTACTTGGTCACCCCGGGCGAGATGGAGAACTTCACCTCTGCCGGCGGGGGATACGAGTAGCCAGCAGTGGTAGCGTGAACGCATGGCAAGATTGGCGGTGCCAGAGTGGGAGAGGGATCCGCCAGCACTACGCCGAGTACGCCCAGAAGGGCGATCAATTGGAACTAAAACGGAAATGGTTAGGGATGTGGAACAGGATAAATTACAAATAAGAAAGGGCTGAACATATAGAATATATATAATAATTGTGAGAAATACATAATATACATTTGTATATAATTAAAGTATTTAAAAATGATTTTTTTTTTATTTTTTGCTAATAACAAACAACAAATATATTTGAAGAAACAAACAATAATTTTACCACATCGATTTAATACATTTAAGTTTAAAGAATAAACAAGTTTAATGATTTTAAATAGTTATTAGAATAAATGTCAAGTGATTCATTTGGTTGTCTAAAAATAATAATTCTTTTCTAAATAGTTTCTTTTTTTAATATCCCTAACTTATTTTTTGTTTAGGTAACACATTTATTCTGAATATAACCAACTTTAAAAAGCATTAGGTTGTCTCTGGTCCAAATAATTCATAATTAATTTTTAATTCACTTTCAGTTGTAATAACTTTTATAGAACTGTTTTTGAAGTCCTTCAATGTTCTCTTGGCACCGTCCATAGCATTTTCTTGGAGGACCCACCTTCATATTGTCACTATTCGAATTCAGCACACTCGAGGATTGTTAAAGGATGCACGAACTATATAGATTCTTTGTTTAGTTACACAGCATTGACACTTTTCAAAAAAGAATTCACAAGCTGGCGATCCTTGACAGTTCGATTGGATGTAATTCCTGTGCGTAATCCTTGGGCGACTAGATCTTTGCTGGATCTAATTTCGAGAAGCGCTTAGCTTGAATTATCCAAAGTGCGGCTAGGAAACGCAACGCGGATCGTATCGAAACGGATCGAATCGAATCGGATCGGATCGGATCGGATTCGGGACGTAGAGCAGAGCCACGCGGCCGACTGGACTGGACTGTTGGCCAGCCCGGCCCTATAATCGCTTATATACGTTCGGTCAGTTGGCCAACACTCGCGAAAAGCTCGCATTCGCACTCGCACTGGCACTAGCACGCATGCGCAGCAGCCACGCACCAGTTTGGCGACAAAGCGACAAAAAAAGTGCCACTATATATGTAGCAGAAATGAAAAACCGAATCGAATCGGATCGAAAAATGGATCTAGCTGCAAGGAAAGAGCCGAGTGAGTGAGCCGACTTTGGCTCGTGCAGATGAAGAATCGATGACTGTTCGAGCCAGCTTTGTTCTCTCCCAACTGAAAACTGAAAACAGAAAACTGAAAACTGAAACTGCAACCTGCCCGGCCTGGCCAATTGTTTGGCCCCACCTTCGCTCGCAGCCTCAGTGGGTAACGTTAACGTTTTATTAGATCATAGTCGCGAACGCCTCGGCTCAAAAATGAACCGATCGCAAAATGCGCGTGGTGCATTGTTGGCCAAGTCACTTTTTTGCCTCAGTTTATTTTCAGATTTTGTTTTTTATTTTGCATACTCGTATGCTTTTAAAGCGACTTAATTTGATTTAGATTTTAATCGCTTCGTTGCGTGTAGCTCTGGAAAAATAAATCCATACGCAACTCGCCAGACCCCCAAGACGAAAAAAAAATGTGGTCTACAAAATTAAGAAAAAATAGAGAGCAATGTAGAAAATAAAGCAAGAATCGTGGTATTAATGTCGCTATCAATAAATTGTGTCTGCCCATGTGTGTGAGAGTGCAGTCATGCGAGTGGTGTGCCAGTGTGTGTGTGGTGTGCGTGCCTTGGGCCTTGATTGTGCATTAGTTGGCTAAAAGGCGCATTGCCACATCATAATACGATACAATATGTGGCTAATAGAATAGCCGGGAGATACGACCGAAGTGTTGACTTGTGGGCAATTAAGGTCACTATGCATCGAGTGTCACCCTCGCAGCGAGGGTGTGTGTGGATGTCGAGAAAACGGCCGACTTAATGGGCCAAGAGGTCTGATAAATCGCATGGCTGACATAGCGATTTGAAGAGACAAGTCAGGGAATTTTTCGTACGTCTTATGTTTCTTGTTTTGTTCTGTGATGGCGGTGATTAAGTGCAGTGTTCACGCCATAATAAATATTCTTTTAATGGTTGTAACTTATTATACTTGAGCATATTTCGAAATTTGAAGCAGACATCTTAAAATTTTACTTAAATGTTATTTAATTTCATAATAAGTTTAGCAATAGTTAAAATTCAACACCGGTCACCTAATTCTTGTGTATGGTTTAGCATCTAAACGCATCATTTTCAGATTCAGAAGAATTTCTTTCTTTTAGTTCCATCGAAATAATAAGGTAAATATTGTTATTAAATATATTTTCCTCAGGAACAAGCCACAATCAATTTTTGACAATTATATTTTTCTTTCCCAGACACCTTATGTAATAAAGCAATGCACAATCTGTCGATTACTAAACCATTTTGCCTTTTGGCCAAGTCCAGACGTCGCCCACGAACCTACTGGCCACGGCTCAGCCAGCAAATTTCACACAAGGTGCGGAAAATGCTTTTCCACTCATAAACACAGGCCATTGGGCTACCTAAAGTCATAATTTTGTGCCTCGAAAGCGGTAGCAGCGGCTTATCCTGCAGCTTTTGCCGTTTGCTCCGACTGCCCGCCCCGCTGGCATCACGCATACGCCATGTTGTGCGCCAAGCCCGTCGGCCTTTCTTAAAAATACACGCAATATTTGCACTCTAGTTAGCATTAACTAAAACTGGTTCGAGATACTGGCAAATATTTTCTGGGCTTGTAACTCGGAGCCTCGCAGAATTCTTGGGCGAGATCGGCAGATTGCAGAGACATAAAATCGCCGATTTTAGGAAATATGTAGGCATGGGGTTATGTGTATAAATAAAAATGTTTACGCATGGCATTATTGAATGAGCGACAAACCATCTAGATATAGGATTCGCCGCGATACAAAGTTAAATGTAAATGATCTAGTCGGGGCGAAAATCAAGATTTTTCAATTAAAATCCCGCGGGGGGAGGCTGGCGCTTTGATTTCGTCACGATGCTAAGTAGGCATGGTCGGGGGCAGCCATGGCCAGCTGTAAGCTGGATCTGTATCCATGGAGCTGGCTCTATAAGTCCGCAGATCGTTTCGTTTCGTTTCGCCAAACTTACGCAACCCGCGAGACCTGTGCGCGTGCGCATGCGTGTGTGTGACAAATGCGTGGCGCGGCGAACTAAACTCGTCCGGCGATCAGCCTGAAGTAGGTTAAAATCGGCGCAGCTGACTTTTCGGCTTGCGTTTGCAAATGTTGAAAAATTAAAATTCAATCAAATTGCGAAAACTGTTCGCGAAAAGCCCAAAATCAACGAAAAAGGCGGCCCGACAGCCCGAAACATGTTTCATGTTCAATTAACAGCAGCAGTCCCGTCCCCATACGAGTCGGGAAATGTACGGGAAAAGTCGGGAACACTTTCGGACTTAAGGCTTCTGCTGGCTGGCTGGCTTTCCGATAAAAATCGCATCATGCAACACCCAATGGCCGGGGCTTAATTGGCCCACAAGGTTTATCGGCTGCCACCGGCTCTCGATCTGGATCGGCATTCTTTTCCAACCCCAAAGCGATTGCGTGTCGCGGTCTCTCGCCTTTTTGCTCTTTTTTCTGGTCTGGGCTTCTAATTGAAATGTCAACGCGTATGCTGCTCAATCAATTTTCCAGCCGGCCATTTATGGTTGGTTTTATTTCGGCGAAACTTCGCCTAGATTTCACATCGCTAATCGTCTGGCCAGGAGTGTGTCTTGCCTTTTTTCCAGCTGGGTGTTTTTAATTGATTTGCCCGGCATGCGGTGTCGATCGCAAGTCAGGGACAATGTGGCTGCGATGGCTGATGGCTGCCACTGGCACCGAGTGGCAGACTTCAGACTCGGCGGACAGCTAATTAAATGCGGTCATAAGGGGCGCTTAAATGACATCAGGTGGCAAGGGGACATGCTCTTTAATTAGGACCATCGAGACTTCCATTTAAAGTTTCATTAAATTTACATTTTACACATTTTTGAAAAAAGAGCTTATCCACAAGTTAGAATTATAGTTCCTTGGGGTTGCTCAATACTCTATATTCTGTACACCAAGTCAAGCTTCTTTATATGTATATTATTTTTTGTGCTAGCAGTATGTATAGTTTTTATTGTTATTAATTAAAATTTAAACCGAAGTACCAAACAGAAATAATATCCCTAAGTTTCAATGGCAAGCACAAATCAAAGAATATTTAAGCCTAATGTATGCGCGGATCTTACCCATTATATTTTTGTAGGCGATTCCATCCGATTGTTCTTGGTAATGTTGATCTAACACATATATTTAATTTATAGGGTCACAAATTTCTCTTTCGGCCGGCTTTATTAATTTTCATATGTCGCTATGTCCTGTTCAGAACGATCCAAGTTATATACATGTGTATATGTATGTATAGGTGTATTTTGGACTTTTTTAGACTCAAGTACATGTCTAATAAGCAAAGAACGATAAAATACCAAAAGTTTCTTACAATAATGTATCAATTATAATCGTCTTTTTAATTTGTACATTTTGGTCCTTCGAGCCGGATGGTCCAGTACCCTTTTGGGATCTGTTAAAAAAGAACTTTATATTTTGAATAAGCTAAAATCAATTTCACTCAAGTCCATTTAATAAGCCGGATGTCGCTATATGCCATAAATAGTTGTAAACAATATTTTTTACGGAGCATACTGTCGGGGGCCAATCGATTCACAGTTTGCTATGTGCTCTCGTATGGAAGGTTGTTTCATTTGCATTCATAGAAGGTTATTCTAGGCTCGACCCTCTTCAGAGCCACCTAAGCTACGAACGCTCACATTTCGGCCTAGTAGAGTGTCGTAAACATTTGTCATAATTAACACAGATTAGGCACTCGGCATTCTTAATGGTCGCTACGCTGCATTTGACCAACACCGCGGCTAATCCAATTTGGCTAATCGCATGCATAACTAGTTCGACCACAGATCGGGTATTCTAATTACAGGTGCGATTTTGATTTCGATTGCGAGTTTTAGTCTTGGGCACTCGAACTTTTGGCCACCGCTAAATGCTGCGTATGGCATTGACTTGGATTTCGATCGATTTCAGTGCGATCAGGGACCAAGTGCCAGGCGGCAGAGTGGCGAAAAAATGATTGCTTATATGCAAATCGCTCCCACATTGCGATCGCAATGGATTCTAGGCGAACCAGTTCCAAGCTCGAAGCCAAGCCAGAGTGATGGCAATAAAAAGTGATGCTTATAAACGGAGAGTGCGCTGCGGAATCACTTAGCGCGCTTTGAGACGCGTGAGAAATGCCTCAAAATCACCGGAGTGCAACAGATTCTCAGACTCTCGGCGCAAAGCGACTGCAGAGGCGTGCAGCAGCGCTCCCAATTAAATAATTTACAATTTTCTAGATTAGGCGCCGCCTCCGACCGCCGACATTGAATGTCGCTGCGGCTATGAGTCAGATCTGCGCTGGTATTGCGAGTGGACTCGTGTATCTGCGACTCTTGAGACTTAGATCCGGTTTGGGGCTCGCCGGAGTCGTCGGTGGAAAAGCTGCCCCGCTGACACGAACGCCTTTTAAGGATCGGGTGGGATCCCGAGACCGAGCCCGGTCCCTCTGCCTCTCCGCCCCAGTGAACTCTGGCCAAAAGCAATTAGCGGGCTAAACAAA